TAAATATAAAACATTCTCATCAGAAATTACAAAATATGTTTAACAAAATATGATAAATGTTCATGAATTACAATCCATTTCAGATTCTTCAACTTACAAAATAGAATCCATGATAAAATAACTAAAAATTTATCAAATATAAAATAGTATTTTTTTCAATTTTTCTCCTCTTAATCTTCAATGGTGTGAATGGCTCTGGAAGGGGTGAATCCACCATATATACCACCAACATCATCAACATGTTCACCACCACTTTTAGCACCAACATCACCAATATCAACATTAACATTAACATCAACATCCACTGTAGGGTCTGATTTTGTGTCAATGATTCCTAGAGTTAAAAAAAATGGCATTTGCAACTCTTGCTCTATGGGGACAAGTCAGGGATGCACAATCTATAAACAAAAGTAATTTATATTTAAACTAATTCGTAAATTATAATAGATAAAATACTTAATGTAATATTTACCTATATATTGTATTACCATCAAATGACCCATCTGTTGCAATAGATGAACCATTTGTTGGAATAAAGCAAAACAGTAGCAAACGATTAAATTTTTATTCAACAGATGACCCATTTGTTGCAATAGATGGACCAACGAGAGAAAAACAATACCAATCATTGAATTTTCTTCTAACATATTATCCATTTATTGCAGCAGATGGTCATTTGTTGGAAGTAAGTGAAACAGAAGCAAACAATTAAGTTTTGTTCTAATAGATGACCTATCTGTTGCAACAGATGGGTCATTTGTTTGAAGAAATCAAAACAGTACCAAACATTAAGTTTTCTTCAAATAGATCATCCATCTCTATTGCAATTGATGGGTCATCTGTTGGTCGAAAGCAAAACAATAGCAAACTCGTATGTTTTCTTCCAACAGACGACCCATCTATTGCAATAGATGACTCATCTATTGCAACAGATGAGTCATCTATTGCAATATATGGGTCATATATTGAAAGAAAATTAAACGAAATCAAAACAGATGATCAGTTAATTTAAGTAAAAATTATTCTATAGAAGATTACTATATAATAAAGAGGATTGAAGAGATCAACATAATTCATTTTTGTGTTATTCTTAGCAGAAAACCACCTAAGATGTCACGCCTCGAGCTACCCCCAAGACGCGGACACGGGACCTAGGACCACAAGTTATCCCAAGCTAACCCTGTTGGCATGATCATGAGCATACTAAAGATAATAAACTGATGCGGAAGCTAAATCATAAATAACATGAAAGGATGGGGAATACCCATATACTATAACTGAGATAAATGAAAACTGATGAGTTTAATACAAAGAAGATATTAACTCAATACTAAGCTGAATCTAACTATGTCTGAAATAAGCCTCTAAACTGACTAGAAATGTTGGGACATGCCCCA